TGAGTGATATCACCGACCGAAAAATCTGATCTAGCTTTTCTAAAGTTTCATTTATCATGTAAACCTGCCTCCAACGTTTGTACATCGATGCAGATCATACAATAGATAGGTCTGGCTAAAAATTCTAAAAGTTTTGATATGCATGTCTGTTATATATCTGAGACTTGTATTTAAGATTCTGGTCAAGTAAAACAGAGTAATTCGCCATCTGTCAGTTCGAAAAGTTTGTTTGATATATACTTGTCCGGTGACTCTATTACATCAGCCTCCAGTTTCCCTGGTGTTAGTGTCATACTGAAGAAATATTGCTGGTAAACTGGACACTAATTAACAGTCGCTTATGCACTTTTTTCCTTTTATTTTAACACATAGATATTGGTACAAGGGGACATCATATACATATGCAACACACAAATCTCAATTGATTTGTGTGAGGGCTGTGATACTGACCGGGTGCCCAAACCGAAGCAGATGGTTTTCTTAGGAGGTCACACCCGGAGCCTTCGACCTGAAGGTCTGGTCCACAAGACAGTGGAGCGTCGTACGGAGACGCAGTCCCATGGAAGCCGGTGACCAACAACTGGTTCATATGCCATTTGTTCCTTTAGGATACTGGAGCCCATGTGCACCATTGGTTTGGAATCAGGGTTTCCCAACTTCCCTAGGTGGACTCTCCATGTCCACCAACCCAGTTAAAGCGCCGGACATTCGATTTTCGTCCTCTCAATTTCGTAAACGACACCCCCGCCACGAGAATGCAATGAGTAGGACTTCCCCGACAGAGGCTATATACGCGTGGCCATGTGAGAGCATTTCGAGAGGGAGAGCGGACTGTCCCCATTCTCGGCCGTACCAGGGCATTTTTATGCACTTTTAGGTTAGGTTACACCAAAGTAAGAAGGAACGGGGTGAGAAATCATGTTTTTTGTTATCCCTACCTACACACGAGGGGACTGCATTTCGAGTGAAACTAACGCTGACTCCTATGTCTTACTTACTTACTTACGCCTGTTACTCCCAATGGAGCATAGGCCGCTGACCAGCATTCTCCAACCCACTCTGTCCTGGGCCTTCTTTTCTAGTTCCATCCAATTCTTATTCATTTTTCTCATGTCTATCTCCATTTCTCGGCGTAATGTGTTCTTTGGTCTTCCTCTTTTCCTTTGACCTTCAGGATTCCATGTGAAGGCTTGTCTTGTGGCGCAGTTGGGTGCTTTCCTCAATGTGTGTCCTATCCACTTCCAGCGCTTCTTCCTGATTTCTTCCTCCACTGGGATCTGGTTTGTTCTCTCCCACAGTACGTTGTTACTAATAGTGTCCGGCCAATGGATTTGAAGTATTTTGCGTAGACAACTGTTAATAAACACCTGTATTTTCTGGATGATGGCTGTCGTAGTTCCCCAGGTTTCTGCCCCATACAGTAGAACTGTCTTGACATTTGTATTGAAAATCCTGACCTTGGTGTTGGTTGACAGTTGCTTTGAGCTTCGGATGTTCTTTAGTTGTAAATATGCTGCTCTTGCTTTGCCGATCCGCGCCTTCACATCTGCATCAGATCCACCCTGTTCATCAATGATGCTGCCCAAATATGTAAAGGTTTTAACATCTTCTAAATCTTCTCTGTCAATCGTGATTGGATTGGTGCATGCTGTGTTGTATCAGAGAATCCTGCTTTTCCCTTTGTGTATGTTGAGAACTGCTGCTGCTGAGGCTGCTGCCACACTGTTTGTCTTCTCCTGCATCTGTTGTTGCGTGTGGGATAGAAGGGCCAGATCGTCTGCGAAGTCTAGATCATCCAACTGCATCTTAGATGTCCATTATATCCCGCGCTTTCCTTCAGATGTTGACGTCTTCATGATCCAGTCGATCACCAGGAGAAAGAGAAACGGTGAGAGTAAGCAACCTTGCCTAACACCGGTCTTCACTTCGAACGACTTTTTCAACTGTCCTCCATGCACAATTTTGCAGTTTAATCCATCATATGAGTTCTGTATGATATTGACTATCTTCTGAGGCACGCCGTAGTGTCGAAGAAGTTTCCATAGTGTTGTTCTGCCCACGCTATCAAATGCCTTTTCGTAGTCAATGAAGTTGATGTAGAGTGATGAATTTCATTCAACTGATTGTCCCACAATCATCCGTAGAGTTGCGATTTGGTCTGTACACGATCTATCCTTACGGAATCCTGCCTGTTGGTCACAAAGTTGGGCGTCTACGCAGTCCTTCATCCTGTTTAACAATACCCTGTTGAAGACTTTTCCCGGTATTGAGAGAAGAGTGATGTCCCTGTAGTTATCACACTTGCTGAGATCGCCTTTCTTCGGTATTTTGATTAGAAGTCCTTCTTTCCAGTCTTTTGGTACTTGTTCCTCATCCCAAATCTTATTGAAGAGAATGTGGAGTATCCCTGCAGTTGCCGCTACGTCTGCCTTTAGTGCCTCTGCTGGAATGTTGTCTGGTCCTGCTGCTTTGCCACTCTTGATTTGTCTGATGGCTATGCTGATTTTTTCAGTTGTTGGTGGGCCAACATTGATTGGGAGGTCCGTGGGTGCTGCTTCGATGTTGGGTGGGTTCAGTGGAGCTGGTCGATTCAACAGTTCTTTGAAGTGTTCTACCCACCTGTCTTGTTGCTCTTCAATGTTGGTGATTACCTCGCCTTCCTTGCTTTTCACTGGTCGTTCTGGTTTGCGGCGATTTCCAGAGAGTTTCTTTGTCGTGTCATACAATTGTCTCATGTTTCCTTCTCTTGCAGCTTTTTCCGCCGTCGTTGCTAAATCTTCCACATATTTACGTTTGTCGGTTCTGATGCTTCTCTTCACTTGTTTGTTAACTTCTGTGTATTCAGCTTGTGCCTTGGCTTTTTCTACTCTTGTTCGACTGGTATTGATTGCTGCCTTCTTGTTCTTTCTTTCTTGAATCTTATCCAGTGTATCAACAGTGATCCATTCCTTGTGATGATGCTTCTTGTGACCCAGGACCTCATGACATGTTGAAGTGATTGCCCCTTTGATCCCTTTCCAGTTGCTCTCCACAGTAGTTCCTTCTCCATTGAGTAGATCATGAAAGGCCTGGAACTTGTTGCTGAGGTCTATCTTGAATTTGTTGAGTTTGTTAGTATCCTGGAGAAAGGCCGTATTGAACTTTTGTGATACTGTCTGCCCCGTTATCCAGTGCTTCTTGAGTTTCAATTTCATCTTGGCGACCAGTAAGTGATGATCTGATGCTATATCAGCTCCTCTCTTGGTTTTCACGTCCTCTATAGTCCTCCTGAACGTTTTGTTGATGCAAATATGGTCGATTTGGTTTTGTGTAGAGTGATCCGGTGAAGTCCATGTGGTTTTGTGTATGCGTTTATGTGGGAATATGGTGCCGCCTATGACCAGCTTATTGAAGGCACATAGATTTGCAAATCTCTCACCATTTTCGTTCCTTTCTCCCAGTCTGTGTCGTCGCATGATGTCTTCATATTCAGTGTTGTCCGTTCCAACCTTGGCATTGAAATCTCCCATCAGAATGGTCAGGTCCTTTGTTGGGCACTTCTCGACGATTGACTGCAGCCTATTGTAGAATTGATCTTTAGCGTCTTCATTGTAGTCGTTGGTAGGCGCATGGCATTGGATGATGTTCATTGAAATGCCCTTTCTTTGTTTTGAACGAGGCTTTGATGATCCTTCGTCCATGAGATTCCCATCCTATAAGCGCATTTTGCGCTTGTTTGGACAGCATCGATGCAACTCCTTGTGTATGTGGTGCATTTTCTTCTTCATGGCCGGAGTATAACAGGAGCTCTCCTGTAGTTAGTCGTTGTTGTCCAACTTGTGTCCAATGTGTTTCACTGATCCCAAGCACCTCTAGGTTGTATCTTCTCATTTCTGCATCAATTTGGAAGGCTCTTCCGGTGTCCCACATTGTACGAACATTCCATGTACCTAAATAAATGGTCGCTCTGGTTGTCAGAAGGGGCATCGGCCTCGTAACTTCCGAAGGAATTCGGCTTTCATCATGGGGCGTCATAATTCTTCTAAATGAAGACCTTCTGACTCCCAGGGCAAAGTTTAAAAGATTTGAATAATTTTTTTTCTGGTTAGCGTTTTTTAGCGATTTAGTTTTCTACGGGATGGGGACGCTAACTCCATGCCCAACCCCCCTCCTTTATCCGGGCTTAGGACCGGCAGTAGCCCCCGGAGGGACTCCAGGCGGAGCTTTTTATGTCTTAATTAGGTCAAATTCATTATAAATCATATTTGATAGATCTTCTGTTGTTAGCTGGGGAATTGAATGAACAGGTATGTGGGTCAAATGACAAAGAAGTGGTCATTTGAGTGGATAATGAGGACTCGATGGTCGAAGGTTAGATGGTGGGGACAGTCTCTATAGCTTTGTGAAGAGTTCAACCTGTTTCTGGTCAGCGCCAAACTCCAGGAAAGTCATCGCCAACATTTCAGCCAGTGTCCTTTCTATAAAACTGAACGGTGGACTTAAACTGGTTATATTGCAGTCAACTACCTATGGTGTGGATGTGTCGGTGACAGAAGTTTTGCTTGAAACCTGACAATATTTTGAGATCATTTTTTATCATCGATCCCCAAAGGTTTGCTCACATACGGTTCAGTTTGAGAGAGTGTTTGATATTATGGATGCTAACGATATCATCAAAATGTGCAGTGACATACAGGTTATCCAAATCACAGTGGGAATATGGCATCATTGCCAGTGAAGTAGAGTTAAAATCAGAGCTAACTTTAGAAATATTTCCATGGCCATAACAAAAGAGAGGAATAATATAAAAAACACATATGTGCTAAAAATATACATCATTTAAAGATTATTTAGTGAAGTTCTAAATAATCATAAGTTTTTCCTTATATTGAAGAGCAGCTGTAAAAGTAATCTTAATCTAAATGAAAATATTTATAAAACATAGATCACCTTTCTGGAGATTTTTACTAATCGAGTTATTACTGTCATCGAAACAATCTTAAGTAGATACATCCACTTACTGAAGGATATGACGTTGCTAGTGCCGGGGAACTTGACCACCGTTTAGTCTGATGAGAACCTTATGGAAGTTAAAGAATAAAAAAGCAGTTAGAAGATGGAAAAACATCTGTTAAAATTAATGTAAGATCAAATTACTTACCAACAAAGTATTTTCCTCCAGTGACGAACAAATCAGTTCCAAATGAAAATTTATAGCTTTTACGGAATTCTTTAGGCAGATCAACGGATTTGCGATTACTAACAGAATTAGGACTCTTAAGCGATATATGACAATTCCAACCACATTCTAACCCCAAACGTTCAGCGAACACTCTACTTCGAAGTTCATTTTCCTTAACAAAATATACGAGAAATAATACTTTTACAAAATATAGTAGTAGACCAACCCGTGTTATTTAAGAAAAAGATAATTAATAATAATGTCACTAATAAGTTTCTGGGAAAAGTAATTATGAATTAAGATCGGGAAATTCGCTCATTAAAAGCACTGAAGATAGTTTCAAGGGTTGGAAAGTAAAACAGCATATCTTGTGAAAAGAAATACTAAGGAAAAGTTTTAGTGGTCACTCTCTTGAATAGTTCTTTTAATAATACACCTCGAACGAGAAACTATGTGTTACAGTGGTTCATTAAATAATAATCATACAATTAATGACCACGTATTAAGCATATTGTTTAGAAACTCCGACGCACCATACGTCACGTGAAATAAAACTATAAATAATACGTCGCGTAATGTTGTGAACGAAATCCCATCAAAACATTTCAAGAAATTAGTATCGTTACTGCTAGGAATAGTTAGGCATATATATTGTGAGATTGTACAGTATGTGTAAAGACGTAAAATTATAAACTATTTAACTGACATTATAAATGATTCAACAATTTCCAGTTATAAATATAGTCAAACAAAAAATCATCCTATCGAAAAAATCCTTTGCATTACCTTAATAAGAACAAACACAGAATAATACAATTACAAAATATAACATACAGTTTATCAGTGAACGTGTACAATGACTTCTGAGTTACCCTTATAGATCGTGATACTACTGAGCTGCTGAGAGCAAACTAAGTTAATTAATTTTTGGAACCATGATATAATCGTTGACAGTTGAGTGGCTTTATTAACTTACAGGGAGTGGGTTGTCTAGGTTTACTAGCTACCTAACAGCCACATACTTTACAGAAACGGGCACCAAACTGGAATAAGTGACGTGACCATCAGATTAGTGTTAAAAGCTACGGATAGTAGCTAGTCCTTTATATGGCTTAATAACCGTATTTTCCATGGAAGTATTTCAAAAGTAGTTTGGCATGAAGTAATAACAATAATACTTACCAGACAACTGTTACTTACTCGAGAAAAATGTACAAATCGTATACAAGCTTGATGAAGTTGTTTAATGGACTTCACAACTTGAGGATTTGCCTGATACTGCATACTTATTAGACCTAAGAATATTTGATTGTTCAGTATAACGTCCACTTCTTTCTGATCAATACGTACATTACTCCTACAAAATAACGGTAAAAAATGAGGTAATTGTGAAAAATATTTGCAGGAGTTATTTAGATGAGGAAAGACAACTATTATGTATAAAAGGGGTCTAACATATAAGAGACTGAAAGTTGTCTGAACGAATGGTCATTGAGAATCAGCTAAATATTGAACTTTTATGGTAAAAGGACTAGTGGCTGCATTTGATTTTATAAGTGGTTTATGAATTTCGTAATAATCATTTATTTAAGATTTAGAAGCAAAAAGTTAAGTTGTAAATAAATTCTGAAAATATTTTTGATTTGTAATGTAAATTTGTTATCGTATACGAATAATTTATACAAAAGGACAAGCTTGCTCTTTAAACTATATGATAGATATAACAGGTTTTTGTAAGTTAGATTTAAAAAATTAGGTGGTGGAATAGGAAAGACAGTAACATAAAATCTTGAATAAAAGTCCATTGATTTGAGGCATATGGAACTAAAAGATGGTTATTAAAATAACTAAGAACATAAATGAGGAATAACAAGACAACTAAAATTTAGACGAGGATTTGGAGTGACTGCAGCTGGATTATTATGAAGCGGACCGCTAGTTTTTATTACTGTATCATATCAAATAGTTTAAGTCCTTCCAAGAGTATCCAGCAACTAGACAGTGACTTAATGAATTGATGGAATTTTTTAGTTTGGCTAGTAACGACTTTTTTAAACTAATCCTGCTTCAATTAATATTCTATGTCGGAGTAAGGAATATTGTTTATTATGAATGACACTTGGTTCAATAACCTTAATTTACGCAAGTTGAACACCTCAGTAACTAAGTTTACTCTTTTGGTGCTTCTCCCTTGAGATCATTAGAACTATAGCCTAGCCATAGACGTCGAACGGATTAAAGATGACTTTGACTGTAAACCAACAAAAGTACACATGTCACAACTTAAATGACTTCATCTACTAGTGGCAGATCAGCACAAACTTTACTGACACACATTAAGATTTGATTAATATATTCATTTCTAAGACTTAAATCTTAGTTCTATTGGGTTTGTTGTACCCGATTTCTAGCTGCATGATGAATTGCAGTGAACTCTAACATCTTAAAGACCGTTTAAGCGAAGCTAGTTCTTTTGTAACTATTAAGAAAAGAGCTTTGTTCTCTTTAATAAACTGGCCAAGTTTTGCTATCTTATTTTATCTCTGATTTATCACAGCCATTCTAAATTTAGTTCTCATTCAATAACATATTTGGGATGTGATTAACTGTACACTGACTGAACTGCTCTTCACAGTATACGGACCAAATTTCCAACATCTAGTTAGAAAATATTAATGTACTTTGATGTTGCTTTTAATGACTGGCTTTTTTAGGTGAATCTCTTCCGCTTCTCCCACTTTCCAACTATCATATGTAGAACTGCGTTTACAATCAGTCAGAGGATTGTTTTACGAATTCTCCCCAAAATGATACTTGTTTTTAGACTAAATACATTAGGATTGCATTAGGAAAACAGTCAACAAAAACAAATCATCTTACTCACTTCTTATCATGGTCCAAGTTATCAGCGTTACTTTTGCAATGATCAGTTTCCGAAACAAAATTAGCATTTGGAAATTCATTTAAAACCAAACAGTTACTATCATACTCACCAAAATTACTACTTATTCGATTATGTTTAATTCGATGTTTTCTAGAAAATCTATCACTTCTCTTAGACGGTGAATGTTTTAGAAGTTTATCATTTGAATACGTTCCTGCCGTTTTATCACACCCTTCTTTTTTCCGATCGCTATGCTGCCAATATTTAGAGAAGGAATTAAAACCGAAGTTTTTCATATTCTTTATAAATTTTAGTCGATAATTACGTGGTCTGCTGGATTTTGAAATAGCTTGAGATCTTCTAGAAATATCACTATCACGAACAATCCTGTCATAAATGGGACTGGTGCTGTTAATATTGTTCGTAACACGCGGTAGTAGAGAACGATTTGAATATGATCGACTGCAAACCAGGTGTTCCAGTACCTTTCGCTGTATTACTGGTGAAATATCATCAGACTTAATTAAATAAGAGAAGAGAAACACACAAAAAACAGCATTACTATGCACTGCTGGAAATTCAGAAATATAAATGTTTTGCGACTGCGGTCAGTATTAAACCCCACATTCAAATAATTGTAGTTGATTATTACGTTGCACAATATGAGGTAATACATATCATCAAACAGAAATATTCCCCTAAATATCAAACATTTAAATCGAAATTACGAACTAATCAAAGACAACCAGTAGAGTCCTATAATTGGACGTAACGGTCGTCCAGTGTTTACAAGTTCTGAATGTTTGTCTGACTTTGATTAGCTCATGATTTAAATGAAGTTGGACAATCTACACGCCTCTATACTGTCAAACGTTTTCATTATTTTATAGTTATGTGCATTTTTACTAACAAATTCTCTTTATTATATTTATGTCCTTACCTTTTTTCATCAGTTGAGTCTGTTTTCCTCTGATTTTGATAATTCCAGCTATTTCGATCAATGAACTTATGTCTGAAGTTGTCGCGCTTCCATCCCACGCGAAAGGAATTTATGCACTTTCTATACCTGTTTAATATAATGGTTTTTTGTTCTGAATACTAGCCGAAACACTAGATACTTTCAAAGATACATGAATATTTTTATTGGGAGTGGTTTGAGAACAATTAAAACTAGACCTTAGAATGACTTATATTTGCAGTTACAAACAGAACTGTTCATCACTTACGAATGTATGTGGATACATATTTTGACAATATGCTAACAGATTGTGGTGAACAAGATCATGCCGAGTAATGACTGAAGTTTTTGGAAGTATCCACAAGATAAACATCCTGACAAACCTTCTAGAAAGGTGTGGTTTTCGATCATTATTTGGGAGTATCATAAAATCCAGAAGAGTGAAAGGGTCTTTTTTTTACCAAAATCATAGTAATTTTTAATGTCTTGTGTTATAAATCATTATTAGCTAATTATCCCAGGTAATAAGATTTAAATAATCGTAGGTCAATTCTGAAATACGCAAACTGAATATTCTTCATTTATTTCTGTCAGTTGTGTGTTTAGTGAGTAACTAAATCTAAATCTCAATGACTCGGCAGGTACGATTGAGTTCGAATACATTAAGATCATATTAAGAATTCGTACCGCTGAGCTGTCAAGTTTTAGGAGGAAACGTCCTTTCATCCGCTGATAGGAGTAAGTGGTTTTGCAAAACAAACTTCAAATGTGATGAACAAGAAAATATTTATCATATTTGAGGAGGTAAATTGAATATAACGACGGTAAATATGTATGAATTTGCAGAAATAAGGTAGTGAGTTATAGAGAAGAGATATGTAAACATATTTTATAAGCTCTGTATCATTTAGAAAACAATCATGAAAGTAACAATTAGAAATACTAAATCTTACTCCTGGTAAACGAAGCATGAAGATATCTGACGAACTAGGGAGATTACCCAACAACAGTCGATAAGATTCCTCAATTTTATCAACCAACGGAGAATAAGCGAATCCAATACAGTATGCAGACGATAGATGACGATTGTGGAACCCCAAGATTAGTTCACGTTCTCTATCTGACAGTGGTACAATATCCCGCCCATCCCAAACATCAGAACACAAGCTAGCAAGAATATCACCAGTACCTTGAGAGAGCAGTTGATAACCTCTTTGGATATTTGGATCAGAGAAGACAGAGCTAAAGCAATAAGCCAAATGAATTCGATCCTACAGTGAGTAAAAATCAAGTTCCGATAGTTAGCGTTACACTATTTTGGAAATCCAACTGACTGAAATGGGTGTGTCCAACCAGATTCAACAGTAAAATATATTGGCCTTACATTTGTTGCACGAATTACTTAACAAAAATCATAACACGTAAAAATATGAAAGTAAAAGTGTACGTTAATTGGAATATGGTTTGATCATACACTAGTTGAGTCATCATAACGCCATTTATGAAGTAATGTACGACGATGGTGTGCTAAAAAACCAGTTGTTTTGATTTTTTAAGTTTCCTCAACTGAAATCTTATTTCAATGGTTGGGATCATAAGTCAATTGAAGCTAGACCATCATGGAAAACCTGGAAGCACTGGATGGCTGTTTCGTCCTATTGTGGGACTCCTCAGCAGCACACACCCACGATTCCACCTCACGAGATCCGAACCCAGGACTTATCAGTCTCGCACGTAAGTGCTTAAGCGCTAGACTACTGAGCCGGCATCCAACGGTGTTGATGTCTAACTTCAACCAATTCACGAAATTTAGTGACACATCCACCATTGTCTTCAGTGAGTTACTATCTCACAACAGATCCGGTTGAACTCCACTGGTCACTACTTCTCACTAGAACTCCAGGAAATACCTCGGCGGGGTCGTGGATGCGTACTACTGAGGAATCCCACAATAGGATGAAACGGCCGTCAAGTGCTTCCAGGTTTTCCATGGTGGTCTAGCTTCAATTGATTAATGATCTCAAGTATTGAAATTACTATAATATCCACAAAAACCCTTCTGATGAAATCTTATTGATGAATTGAGTTAACACCAAACAGCATAAGAACAGAAAAAACATCAAAGGAGTAGCGGAAGTAATACCAGCATTATTGGCAAACTGAAAGAGATAAAGAAGTTTGGACAAAAGATCATGTCAAATAATTAGAGAGGAGCAAAGAAAGGATTAATCTAAGTCACCAAGGCAAATTGTCCCATGGTTCCAACGACTGATTACAGTTAACTAACGCATAATTAGACAACATTATTGAATATAGTAAATAACTTTTAGAATAATCAACACATTAGTACTATGGTTTGGTATAAAGCTTTGCTTGAAATTAAAAAGCTACTGTAAAGTCACAAACACCAAAAACGTAGGATGAATGAAGTGGGTTTTATGCACAAGTAACAGTGACATACTGTCTCAAAAATTCAGTTAGTTAAACGACTACTTCTTAAAGGAGCATAGAAAACTAAACACTATGCAGTTGGGGATTGGGTTACATCGACACCCGAACTAGTGATAGGGAGTGAAGTAGTTGAGTGTGTCGACCGCTTCACTTATCTTGGAAGTCTCATCAGCCCTTGTGGTTTAGTGTGTGACGAAATCTCAGCACGGATACAGAAGGCTCGACTAGCTTTTGCTAACTTCCGTCATTTATGGCGTAGGCGAGATATCCGTCTATCAACAAAAGAACGGGTTTACTGCGCAGCAGTTCGTTCCGTCCTACTTTATGGCAGTGAAACGTGGCCGGTAAGAGTAGAGGATATTCGTAGGCTACTAGTATTTGATCATAGGTCTCTTCGAAACATTGCTCGTATATCCTGGGACCATCGAGTAAGTAACACAGTTGTTAGGAAACGGGTACTAGGTAAGGATAGCAAATCAATTGATGAAGTAGTGAAACTTCATCAGTTGGGATGGCTGGGACACGTGTTACGTGTGCCCAACGACCGACTACCTCGACGTGCTATGTTCAGTGGTATAGGAGTAGGTTGGAAGAAAGCTAGAGGCGGCCAAACCAAAACATGGCACAAGTCCATGAAGTCACTGACAAGTGGACTGAGTCATGTTGGTATGTGTAGACTACCTGGTTGGGGACCGCGAGATGATGGCGACCGATGGTTAGAGACCCTGAATGACATGGCTCAAAATCGTTTGCAATAGCGCAGGTGCATCCACTCTCTGTGTTCTCCCAAATTCTAATCTTCTGAATTCTCCATGTCCCTTTATTCCTCTTTCCAAATTTATTTATACTCTTTAAATAACATCTCCAAACCCTAATCTTCCCGATTACTGCTTATACTCTTATTACCTCTACCACTACGGAATTTGAATCGACAACTGCATCTCTGTGCTAATGTGGTGTGGTAACTCGAACTGATGTACGTACGTACGAAGTTCTACGTTGTTACTGACTGACTGACTGACTGACTGATGCAGTTGGGGGTCTCTAAACTAGTTACGCTAGTAACCAACTTGAATCACCCAATTGTATCTATTAATTGTCATGATAAACTGAGTAGTCTGTTAATTTAACGGTAATCATTCATCTTTGCCGATAATCTTCATTACATTCCCTTTTTACTGTGATAGTTTAAATCGAAAAAACTATGCGCATGCTCTTATACGGACAGTCAATTAGCCTCAAAATGTACTTAGAGAAAAGATGAGAAATGAGAAAACATTTAACTTGCACTATGAAGCTAGCCGGTTATGAAGAAACAAGATAACACCACGAAAACAGTTAATGTAAACAAATAGAGTCAAACCTACATAATTTGTATTTTCTTTTGTCGGGAGGATTTCTTCGGAAGATAATTTACTTTTAACATCAGTAGCGTTAGAATTAGAAGTATATGCGGCTGAGCAAATAGAATAAGCACCCAAGCATCCATGAGTGCCAAAACCACTTAAGGCACCATCACGAAATCCTATCTGGCTGGCAAGACCACACAGACAGAAAGTAAGCGGCAGTGCAGTAATACATGATGAAGAATCGAAATATTTTTGAGTTGCATTTACTTTTTCAAAAAAGCCAATTCTCTGTTTCGCAATAGCAGAGTGACAATTGTTGAGAAGAATCGATAAACCGATTGGTTTAAGCGATGAAAGGAAACGATCCCAGCGCGGCCTTTCGAAATGTGAAAAGGGTCGATAAAAATCGGTTCGTAAGTCTAGAACTACCGGTGTAATACAACTGCTCAGTGGAAACACAGCACTTCGTTGAAAACCAGGTGTATCATTAGGATCACAGTTAGTGGGTAGCTGATTTTGGATGGGACTTTGAGTCTTGCAAAGTTCTCCTTGATTAAGTCCAACACACTACGAATTTGAATAGAAATCGAATATAACCGAGTTTTGAAATAAATGATTTATTCCATCAATATACAGAGTAACTTTGATTTGGGAATCCCTTTACACATTAAACCAAAAATACGTTTATTCATGGTGATAAAATGATTGCTTACGTCCAATAAATTTCTGCAACAATTATTTTTTAAAATAAATTCACACTGAGGTTTTATTTAAAAGACATTTCATTTCTAAGAATATTAACCGTAATTTAAACAAGGTTTGATGAGCGAATCGTAATTCTAGGGGAACAGTTAAGTATAAAACAAATTCACTTTTATCGCTTTCGGACTGTCAGAAGTTGTTCAATTGATTTTAACTCCTGGCTCAAACCACTTCCAAAACTTAATAATTCACTGACTTTTAGGAAGAGGTAAAATAATTCAAACCTGGGAACAATACAAAGCATTTTATATATTTGCAATGATGGAAACTGAGGCTGTGAGAAAGACCATGCACTTCAAATGAAGACAAAATACCTATAAATAAGCACTTTAAAACAGCATTTTGAGTATTTTCCAATACATCTGAAAAATATATCTTGATTTCCACTGAATAGGATATTTGATACTAGCCTGCGAGAGTTAGATCTTTTACTCCATAAATCCACCAACTACCTACGAAAAACCGAAAATCGGATCGATTGCACAAATGATTGTTAATTAACATATCTGTTTACGAGTTTCTCTGGAGTTCAAAACGACTATTAAATTGGTGGAAAGACAGCAAGGCATTCAGCTGAATAGTTCTAGATCATTAAAAACAAGTCTTCCAACAGAAAAATGAGACAAATTTTTTAGACGTTATATAATTAGTGAAAGTGTTTACTTTCTACTAGGTTTGAAAATCGCACTGTCATTTGAGGAAGTTCAATGAATGTAACGGGCCAAAATTTTGAATGTAATACATCTAATCCATTACATCGCTAGTGGTGAATTAAAAATGACGAATAATCTCATAGAATTTACCTGATAATGAGGATAATACGCTAACATTTCACCATACTACTATTATATTTCGCTAATTTTCGATGGTTATTTAAACCCATTATCAATAGATTTTTAGACACTGATAACAAATAATACCCGGGATCGGTAAACTAGTTCATGGAAGTAACAATCCAGGAGAATATATTAGGGATCCTTTTTCTCTACTGGACGAATCTACATAGTACAACCGGTAAATCTATCCACAAAAAATGAATATTAAAAAGCAGTTACATAGACGACTGGTCAACAGATTCTTTATGCATGGACAAAAAATTAGGTTGCTGATACTTTAAATAAGAGTAATGCTTAAAGAGGACTAAGCAATTGATAGGAGTGCCAACCTATCTAAACTAAGAAGCATGAACCATTATGTTTGAGATGCTTCTTCGGGAAATACATAGTGCTGAGTGCTGAAGAAGGACGACAAGTCAAATGAGCATATTAAAATATGATTTCAATTCATGAAGTCACTGGGTTTCGGTCTGAGCTATATCGGAAGAAGCAAGCTTAGTTGTTAGTATCTCCTTAAGATTGGAAACTAGCGACCGAAACACATAGATGAAGTCACTATACCATCACTTTTTATCTGTTCATTATACCTTTTTCCTACATATCCTCTTTTGAACAGTTGAAAGCAGTGGCAAGCTAAAACAACATACGTCCACAACCCCGTATTGGACATGTGTAGAAATAACACAATTTCTGAAACAATTATAAAGTAGCTCCACACTAGAACGTAGACTTCCTGTGATTTCTGGTCATTTGAAGTGATTTTAATGGTTTGAAAGTCAAACGAGATAAATGGTTCCATAGTTAAGCTCTGATTATCTTTCTGAACTATTATTGCTACAAGCTTCAGACAGAAGTTGCTTAAAAAGCAAAAGTTACTTGTTTTTTTGTGCGCAGAAAACCCGACGTGTTCAGTTGGCCTGATTTAGAATTTTGATGATCAAAACGTTCTTCCGCTTTTGAGTTTGATTTATAGACATTTTGAGACTTGTTTGTACCAAAACTCTCCTGATGGTGATGATTGTGGTGGCGTCTGTGGAAGAAAAACATTTTCTCTGGAGTTGGTAACGACTGACTTATAACACCTTCTTGGTTGATACAACACACGGAACTTAGTGTTCCCAAAGTAAGTACAATATTTTCCATATCTACGTTCGTCTGAAAGTAAAACTATGATTACAACACGTTTAAATAAGCCACCGTAGAATGATGTAAATAATGTATTGAGAAAACATTTTGTAGATAAATAGAATGCAATAGTAATAGTAGTTGTAAGTAACAAGACATGTAGTATAGAATTATCACGTGATTTACCTTTACATTTATCAAGTTACTTTCAATACACATCATTTTTTCAGGTTCATTCGACGTAACAAAGTGGAAAGCCCCTCCTAATAATCCTGTTACACCGTAAAGTTAGGAACGAACTATGAGTTATTATTGAAGTTAAAATGTTAATAGATATATGTAGTATGTATCTCGCTATGGATTAATCGATGACGATATAAACTGAAATCAGAAAACTCGAGTGCATTTGGTACGCAAACTGACTACTTAAACACAGTTTTGTGTAGTAATTGGCTCCCTAGTTTCTTATCCAACTTAAAGAATGACTAATAAGGCTTATTCCACTAATTAAGACAATAGAGCAGTACAATTTACGTCAAAAATAAATTACCTTTACAGTTAAAAGATTCTACATTATTAAGCTTGCTCACTTTGCTCTATTTAAAATTGAGCTTACGCATTTCTCAGAAAACAGCAGCTTTTGTCATCATTAAGACTTAAAATAACCGATACTCCTTTGCAACCTCTAAACGTCATAGATCTTCAAAATATTACAGAGTTATTTAGTTTGGTGTAAGACACAATCCCATTTTGATAGGTTGGATAATTTGTGTACACAGGTAGTTAAATAGTTCAAAAACAGTTACTGTACAGTTGATACATCCATTCATCCCGTACCAATATTTACGTTTAGAACATGATACTAATTCAAACTTTGAATGAGTTCTCAACTGTTTTTCTTTTATTTTCATTCCTACTGTAGGTCTTTATCACCATACTTACCATGCTGGTTTGACGAGTTGAACTGATAAATAATTCATGTATTCTGATCAAAAGCGATAGTGACTGATGTAGTGGTTTGTGAGGAAGGTCAGAGCGATCAAAACAAAACGTAATATCAACTCATGAGATTATTAGCTGCTAGACTGAGTTGTATTTGTATGTGTAGACTACCTAATTTAGAGTCGGCTTGATTATTGTAATCAATCGGTGGGGACTTGATGTGATATGGCTTAAAATTGCGCACAATGATGCAGACCCATTTACTTTTTATTTTCTCTGGGATTCTGACGCTAAAAATCGTCTTATGCGACTATCTTTAATTTTCTCTACTACAACTGGAGATAATACCATTTATAATATTCCAGTAACTTTGGATAATATATACTCGTTGTGAATATACATAACAACTTGAACAAACGTACATATCGCAATTTCTACGTTACACATAAATGACTGAATAATTTCTGACTGTTATGTATACCAAATATTGTTATCTAAGAACTATAAAATAAATGCTACACTCAAGTATAACTCTTGAAGAACATCACTGACAGCCGCAGAATTCTCTGTTGATTCAACACAATCTTGTGTAAATCGTTAAAATACTGTATAACCTTTGAATTTAAGTCTCGTAAATCATTAGTTAACAGAAAAGTATACATACAGGGCACCTGAAGTTCATAAGCTATAAATCACTGGAAAGTAATGAAAAAAGAAAACAAAAAGTGATCTTTTAGAGAACTAACTTTTACTCTGCGGTGCAAACGAGAAAAAAACGATCATTTACAGACCAGAGGGTAAACTTTTAGTAAATACATAAACAACCTTAATCTTACTTACCATAAAGCCAATGTAGCGAAGATTGGAGATAAGCGAGTGAAAAGTTAGCGTGTTTGATCTGGAAGCCTTAGACATGTTGGGTTGGAAAAATACATGGGGAGATTTGAAGTCATTGCCATCAATAAGTTTAAAATGATCCTGAGAGTTAGAAAGAACATTCTGGAAGTGGAATGTGACGACAGCAGTGGCAATCATCCATAAGAAATACAATGAGAAGCTCGAAGAAGCAATAACAATACCAAGAGTGTGGGCAAACCAGATTAGCAAGCGATAAAACTGATGACTAAGATCACCAATAGGTAATGTGCAAATAAATATTGAAGTTAGAAAAATGAAAGTTATAGAACACTTGATAATTAAAGAAACCCAAACTGCAGTATTCACAACTTTATAAGCAAGCGGTTGAAACGTATAACCATTTTCAACTCTTGATCTAAAAGCAATATCAAGGTAAGAAGCCAAAGGAGAATGGATGACAACGGCTACCACAGACTCATCTGATTTTTGAATGGATGTAAACGAGGTGGATATCAGGTTACAACTGAGTTTCTGAGGGACATAAACATCACCTGGAAAGTAAATGTGATTCTAGTTCAGAGGTCGAAAAGTAAAAATGTAAATACCCTTACTTCATTTATTTGTTTGCAGAAAGCGAAGATTGTCTGACCTGGTTTAATAATAATAACATCACCCGGAACAAGTAAAACAGCAGGCAAGACCACGATTTTTCCATCTCGGATAGTGAGGTGGGTATCCAAACCAACCATCTCATTTAAAAGTCCATTTAGACAAGGTGAATATGAAAGCTCATTCGGCTTCAAATTTCCTACAAACAATTAGAAACAACATACTTACTAAGACAAGTGACGGAAGATCTTAAGAATGTCTTAAACTGTGTACAAGATGAAATTATCCTTTTATAACGCGTTAAGAACGTTAAGAACAAAAGGCTACTTGACAAGAGGACAAAGAGCAAATCCCCAGCAATCGATATCCAGGAGTAGCTAGAAATATTAGACCAGTCAAACAAACTAGTTTATAGGACATAAAGTACCTGGAGGAATATCGGTATGAAGCAACAGAACATGATATAAGAATAAGTGACATTATGCTCAACATAAGAGATAATATATCCGAACGAGACCAACTCAGCAATACAACACCACTTATTGGTCTTTCACTTAACGTTTCCAAAATTTTGCAAAATAGTTCCAAAGCCACTGGAGTTTCTAGACCCTGACTCATTGTAAAACTGTAAGCATAATCGCCTTGACAAACAAGGCATAACAATAATCTTCCCGAATCAACCTTGAGAGATTAAATCTTGCTCAGACACCCAAACAGTTTAAAAACATTCCGTTCAATGATGGCGTGCTACAGTAAACAGGTACTCCAATGCTAAGAAAATTGAACTCCGAGGATTCCATAATTTTCACAGTGGTAAATGAGTAATCGCTCACTGTTATACAATTCAAAGATTAATCACACGAGTTTTTCCATAGTTTTATAAAGGAAAAGCCACATCTAATACTTAATACACTTTGTCAGTATTCATTATATGTACATGACTCCTAAAATGAAACTGATATGTACCTGAATGTGGAATTCCCACGCAACCACCAATAATAATATATATTACTTGTTACCATGTTCAATTAATGTATAAATTGGTCATATTTGTATCAATAAAAAATTCAGATAAACAATCGAAGACGTGAAAACAAACAGAGGTACTAACGTAGCTTCAGATCACCAACTGGTTGTGTTTAAGATGTAACTAAAGCTAGAGAAACAATAAACAGCTGGGGAAACTGCAGTACAAAGGTTCTATACAGCACTCCTTCGAGATACTGATAAGCCCAAACAATTCAAGATAACTTTCGGCAACAGGTTCCAAGCTTTACAATATCCACTGGAAGAAAAGGAGACTACCATGGAAGAAAAATGGAAAGGGATCAAAAAATCACACACTTTGACGTATCAGGAGGTGTTCGGCCGGAATAAGCTTCATCATAATGAATAGATCTCTATGGAAACTCCGGACAAAATTCAATAAAGGAATGACAAGAAGACAGCGATCAGCAACAGCCGAACAAGAACAGAAGAAGTTGACGCACAGGCTGGATACACAGAAGCAAACAAGCAAGTGAAGAAGAGTATTAGGGATGACAAGCAGAAATATGTGATAGACCCAGAAAGGACAATGGATAAAGCTGCAAGAGAAGGAAATATCAGACAATTATATGGCACGACGAAGAAACTGGTAGGGAAACACAGTAAACCAGAGAGACAGGTCAGTGACAAAGAAGGCAAGTCAATCACTGAAATTTCAAGAACTGGAGAACAGATGCGTAGAAAACTTTGGGGAACTCTTGAATAGGTCAGCTCCATTGAATCCGCTAGACATCGAGGCAGCACCTACAGGCCTTCCTATAGATGTCACTTCATCAACAATCGAAGAAATCAGGATGACTATCAGGCAAATCAAGCATGGAAAAGCATCAGGACCTGACAATTCACCAGCCGAAGCACTAAGGTCAGACATAGAAGTAACTGCAAACATACTACACATTCTATCAAGGAAAATTTGGAGGGAAGGTCAAGTGCTGACGGACTGGAAATAAGGATGTCTCATCCAGATACCAAAGAAAGGAGATCTTAGCAAGTGTGAAAACTAAAAAGATACTACACTACTGTCGATACCGGTACAAGCTTCCAACATAGTGTTGCTGAACCGGGTGAAAGATCCGGTGGACGTCGAGCTTCGAGGTCGACAGGTCGGAATCCGTAAGGATCTGTCGTGTACAGACCAGATCGCGACACTACAGATCATCCCTGAACAATCAATTGGATGGAATTCATCACTATACGTCAACATCATTGGCTATGGGAAGGCGTTTGACAGTGTGGATAGGAAGAAGTTATGGGAGTTTTCTTTGACACTATGGTGTGCATAGGAAGTGGTGCAGCGGCAGTTTCTGCATCAGTAGGCCTTAACGTGCACAAAGGATTAAGCCATATCCTGATAGACTTTCACGTACATGGACAACATCATCGATGCGCGTTCAGGATTGGCAAAGCAAGAGCCACATTCCCACAACTGAAGAACGTATGGAACTGCAAACGGCTGTCAGTTGACATCAGAGTGAGAATCATCAATACAAACGTTATGACAGTTATATTATACGGAGCTGATACTTGTAGAACTACCACAATCAGCATCAAAAACGTACAACTATTTATAAGCCATTATCTACGAAAGGTACTGAATGCCCTTTGTCCGGGTACTATCTTCAACAGTCTACCTTGGGAACAAACCAGCTTCCAGGTGAAGCGGAAATTAGGAAAATACGTTGAAAGTGGATAAAACGTATATTTAGTAAATCATCCAACTGCATCACGAGACGAGCCATAACTTGGAATCCCGAAGGGGGCCGAAGAAGTGGGAGGCTGAAGAACATACTAAATCAGTAATTAGAAGCAAACATGATAAGGACGAATAGCAAACGGAGAAAATCAGAAGGGATTGCCCAAGACATCTTTGGATGGGGATTGCTGATGGGCAGCCTATGATCCGCCCCTCGAGGACTAACAGGTGTAAGTAATAACTAAGTAAAATTTACGTTCAGTGTCATGAGAACCGAAAAAGCGGGTAAGCATGTATGTCTGCATATGCACAAGATATTCATACTCCGTTGAATGTCAGACTACTTCAGACAGTTAAAGGACTATCGGTGCCCTGTATGCCTTATTAGGTGACAGCAGAGTTTTCAAAATCTTCGAACCTTTTGATGAACCGTGTAAAATACAATCCGTGACCTTCACCACAACAGGAAAATCGGAAAATTACCTGGAGTTGCAAGCTTCCGTCTTCTTATCCGTCTTTAGTATATCCACAACAACATAGCTCTTCTTGTCAAGTAGTTTGTTCCTAACAATTAAACGCTTTAAGAAAGTACCAAAAATCAGCCAAAGGTGATATAAGGATTTCATTTTGACTTTGAATCAGATTCATTATAATCCTGAAGATGTTTTGTGGTATTCAGTGCCTCATAATCTTTATATTTAAAAGTTGCTCAAAATTCACAACACTTTTCTCATCAGTGAATAAGTATTAATAGCTGTTAAGAGGAACTAATATATATGGCTATTCGTAACTGCATCGAATTTCTGAATCCAAGTACATACCAGTCTGTTAGGATAGTCGGAAAAAGAGACCAATAATTATCATGTTAAGTCTACGGTGGCCTTGGACTTCAAATGTACATTTCCTATTGGTCGATATTTGTTCACTTGTTAAATATTGTACAAAATGTTATTTTCTATTTTATGGTACGATGTGGTACGCTTGATTGGTATATAAACAAAGTATGTTTGAAATATAATGATTCATAACTCCGAGGCTGTGACTTATGTTCTTGACTCAACTGGCTAGGACAGACAGCGAAGCAGGGCCAATCAGGGCACTAGGTCATCCTTACATGTTTACGTGTCACTGTCCACTGTCACCGAACCGATCAGTAAAACGCTGCATATCATAACCTGCAGTCCCACCCGTTACAACACAGTCTCATCTTAAGAATCATGTACGTTTAATGAATACTGGTCTAATGTTGTTATATCCTAACTAGGATTAAATTATGTGTAACTTCTGGGAATGATTTATGAACTGCCATAATGTGTTATATCCCAGTGAGAATTATGAATGTTAACTTTTGAGAACTACTTATGGACAAATATTATACGTATATTCTTAATGTATAACTATTCAGTAGCTAGATTGTGTTTATTTGTACTCCTCTTATTGCAAGCATTATTTTGACCTATAAATTATTATTATACTATTTACCGTTCTTGAGTTACTCCCAGACTATTAATTACAGTCTCCCACGTTCATATTCAATTTTGGCTAGATCTTGTACAAATGTTATTTTATATTTTTTAGTACGACGCGTTCTGTTTTGTTCGTATATAAACCCAGTATGTTTCAAATACATAGCTCATGTCACAGAGGCTGAGATTGGTGTTCTGGACTTACCGGGCAGGGCTAGACACGAAGAAGGACCGATAAAAACTGAAGGCTGTTCATACAAGTTTTATGCATTATTTGTTCAGTCGATAATTCACTGTTCTCTAGTTGGTAATACCATTACGTCGTATATTACCAGGGCACATAGCCACAAGTTATAACAATATGTATACTCTTATTATATAGCTGTTAGGTGCCTAGATTGAATATATTTATATTATTTTTATTGTAAGCTTTTATTTGACTAATCGACTACTAATACATGATTTACTGTTCCTAAGTTATTTTCAATTTATTAGTTTCAGTCTCACAATGACAGCCAACTTTTGGTCTAATCTTGTATAATTTTTATTTTTTATTTTATGGTATGATTTGGTCTGGTTTGCTTATATATAAACCAAGTATGTCTGAAATATATGATTCAGGATTTTGGCTGCAAGGAGAGTCTGTAAGAATGTACCTCGATTAGGCTACTTAGTTTTCCTTGGCTCTGAAGTAGATGATAAGTTTTGCCTTGTCTATTCTAGGACAAACAATGCTTAGTAAAAAGAATTTCACAACTCACGAGCTCAGATTAAGAATAATTCAAGCACATTTTTATTCTGTCCCTCTAGTGTTCAATTTCATGAAGAGTGGTTTGTAAAGGTAATGAACCACTTAATAAAAAATAATTAGAAACCATCCATAAATATATACTATTAGTAACTAATTCAACATATAACCTTGATGGTATTTACGCAGTTTATATAAGAAAGCATTTCCTTATATCCAGAGGCACATTTGAAGCTTGTACAAAGCTTTTAATCGCACATAATGTTCCTGAGAATACTCTATAAATAAACGAGTTCGGAAGTTGAGTACAACAAATACGTCCGAAACACTTTGTAACGAATCGCGCGAAGTCTAAACGTCGTAACATTTTTTCACATGGTTTAGATATTTCTTGACTTATTCATTTGTAGGGTATATTATACTGAGACTATCATACTACCTTGTATTTCTGGTACATTTTTACACCTGAAAAAGTAAGTTACAAGGACACTCATCAATTTATATATACTTATCAAAGACCTATCCTACATCTTTGATATAATTCCGTATCGGCTGTCATTGACACGATTTAATCTCTTATTACACTGTTTGAAAGATAGATATTTCAGTTGTTGTCTTAACACACTTAGTAGCTGAACTCCTTGTCTTCAAAACACATTCTATATCCACAGTCACTCATTCTAGTTTTTACCCATTTAATACTTAACAATAAGTGTATACTCAGATATTCTATCTGGTTAAACGGTGTCTCTACCCACCCAACTTTGAAATATGACCAGTA